GATGAGCTGCCTAATTTTTGTTTGTTCCTTTCTGATTTGTATTGATGATACACATCCTGTGTATTAACCTTGATTAGTATAATATTTGATTACCTTTCAAAAAAAAAAAAAAAAATCACTTAACAGTATAATGGATGAGAACTGAACCTTTTTTTTTTTGCTTTAGCGGTTCCAGTACTATCTAGTCCAGCATAAAATATATTAATATGTTTACCAAGTTTAACTGGATAAGCCTATAAGATGTTCGATAAGTTTCTCATATGAACTCACTAGTTTTTTATTTTGACAGAAATTTCTGCAGAGTGATTTTCTAATGGAGAAATTATCTTACCAAGCTCCAATTTATATTGTTATGGAAGGAAGTGAGCCTACTTTTTTTACTCATTTTTTCTCTTGGGACTCTTCAAAATCTTCTGTAAGTGCTGCTGTCAGGTCTGATGTTATTGGTAAGATTTCATATTCTCAGAAGATACTTAATGATATCACCCGATGACAGATGCGTGGGAACTCTTTCCAAAGAAAACTTGCTATTCTTAAGAATGGAGCAACTGCGCTGTTAAATGTGAGTTTTGTTTCCCTCTACTTCCCTCTGTTTCCTGCTACTTGATTAACAATTTAAATATATTTGTGTTATTCCCATTTTGATTTGGTTATCTTCTTAGTAAATACAAGTTTGCCTGTTAAAGTCCATGTCTACAACTTCTGTCTTCATTCTTGTACGCTGACCATTATTTTATATGCTAAATGATTGAACATACCAAAGTTGAAGTTACACTTCCCTAATAAATGCGTAAGGCACAGCATAGTGACATTGGTATACTCACCATATAATTTGTAAATTTTTTAAGCTTATGTGTGTTCAATGTTTTGCTGTCCAAATATAGTTTATTCTTTTATTTATTTATTTTGTTTTGAAGATTTGAGCAGAAGGCACATATTGAATGCTTGTAATCTTTTACTCTTATGATAATAGTTGGTCTTTCCATGTATAATAAATTTGAATGTTATTCTGTTCTTGATAATTCATTTCATGTATATATAAAACACAAAATTTAAACCTGAGCAAAATCCCTGAAAATAGAATTAATAAATTTGAAATTCTCGTGTAAATGCTATTGGAGTCATATGCGATGGGCGTTTGGGAGAGGGGGAGGGAGGGAGAGCTTTCCTAGCCAAAGAATGGGGCTAGTGGCTGCAACTATAGAATACCTTCGTGTTGTGATGACATACTTTATAATTGATAATTTCATATATTTTTCCCTAAATTATGACTTCTACATGCATCATTGATTGCACAAATGAGGATTAACTCCTGCGTAGTTACAGACTGCAGAAGCCAACAAAAATGAACAAGGGAAGAAACATTGAATTTAAAGTTGTACCAATTACATACTGTGATTCATAATTAAAAATATTATGATAGTTAAATGGCATCTAACATAGTAAACGTTACAACTTCTTAAAGAAACGGTTCAACTGCAAAATTGTCATTCATGTGAGGCAGTTGCTTGGGAACATTGGTTTTATTCTCATTATACCCCATGCTTAAATTTCTTGAGATACAATTGTTCATTATTTATCTGCATATATTACATGCTCTTTTTGTTACTTTTCCCACTTCATCTTTGATGCAGGGGAAGATTATAGGAAAGACAAAAATCTCACCAAAAAAATTTCAATCATGAGAAATTCAAGGAAAATCTTATTTCATTCAAAATTGAGCTACCTCAAATGGCTTACAACGTTTAAATAGTGAAACCCTAAAAAAATTCGGAAAGAAATTACCTAATAATAAAAATATTATTTTTTTCCAAAAATGGAAGAAATTGAGATAATGACGGATCTTGATTCTCCTAATCATCAAGATCATCCCTCACCAAATGGAAATCAAATCCGAGTTTATTTGACTAAGATATTGTCAAAACAAAAATTACCATAAACGGTAAAAACGCTTAATTGATGGCCTAAACGATGGAATTTGCCCAAAATTTGACGTGCATCAGGGCCAAAGGCCCTGAGTTGTGATCATTGACCCGTTTTCAATCAAATTAGACTAACAATTCACCAAAAACGAACAAACCCGAAATTAAATGAAATTATTATTTTGCCTTCATCATTCTCTACGGGTTGAGAAAAATTCGCCATCGAATTTGACGGGGTAGAAACCTCGTCATCATCAGAATTATCACCACGAAATGGCTGCTCGACGGAAATCCATCTGGAAGCTATTCCGGGAAGTCCTCATGAAATTCCTTTAGCAATGACTGAATCCTGCGAGTAACCTCCTGCTCACTGTCAACTGACTTTTTCACCAGCACATACACTGTCCCATATCCTTCCATATTTGTCTTGAACTTCACTTTGGTTAGTAAATTGACGTCATCCCCAACTGTTTTTACTGAGCCCTTATCTGGAAGCAACACACTTTTCTTTTCCCCAATAGTACACGTCGATTGAAAGTGATTAGTACGCAACCAGTCAATGTTATTTTCCAGGGAAGTCGGAAAACTCTACCTCACCACCAATGCCTGACCCACATCACGAACCCCAAACTCCTTCTCTGCTGCCTCTTCTACACTTTCACTGTCAAATACAGGTGGACCGTAATAATCAAACTCTTCCTCCTCTTTTGCTTCTTCAGTGTCTTCATTGTTAAATACATGTGGACATTCATAATCAAATTCTTCCTCCTCTGTTGCTTCTTCGATGTCTTCATTGTCAAATACAGGCGGACCTTCATAATCAAACTCTTCATCCTCTGTTGCTTCTTCAATGTCTTTATTGTCAAATACAGGTGGACCTTCATAATCAAACTCTTTCTCTATTGTTTCTTCAATGTCTTCAATCGTGACATCCTGAATATTATGATCACGGTGTTGGACTCCAACGACGACCATGACTTCTAGGCGCATGTTGCTGCGGCATAAGTGCAGCAACTTGCCGTGTCAGCAACTCCACTTGTTGACGCAGCTGTGCGATTTTATCACATCTATGTATCTCCTCTACTAGGGCTTCACAAGCTCCTTGACGGTATGGTGAAGGAACGATTTCGACTCTGATACCAACTGATGCAGGAGAAGATTATAGGAAAGACAAAAATCTCACAAAAAGAATTTCAATCTTGAGAAATTCAAGGAAAATCTTATTTCATTCAAAATTGAGCTGCCTCAAAGGGCTTACAACGTTTAAATAGCGAAACCCTAAGAAAATTCGGAAAGAAATTACCTAATAATAAAAATATTATTTTTTTCCAAAAATGGAAAAAATTGAGATAATGACGGATCTTGATTCTCCTAATCATCAGGATCATCCCTCAACAAACGGAAGTCAAATCCGAGTTTATTTGACTAAAATATTGTCAAAACAAAAGTTACCATAAACGGCAAAAACGCTTAATTGATGGCCTAAACGATGGAATTTGCCAAAATTTGACGTGCATCAGGGCCAAAGGCCCTGAGTTGTGATCATTGGCCCGTTTCCAATCAAATTATACTAGCAATTCGCCAAAAACGAACAAACCCGAAATTAAATGAAATTATTATTTTGCCTTCATCAATCTTACTGTCGATGTTTGTCCTAATGTTTTGTTTTGTTTCTTTTCTTTTCCTATTCCTAGAAACCCAGAAGGAGAGTAATACCAATCTCATCTGGAAGGTCTGCTGCACCTGAAAAATCACAGCGTTCAAGAAGTGTGTCTTTTAGCCCTGACAGAGTTCGTGTGAGGGGAAGGTCTCCAGCGTTCAATGCTCTGGCAGCTACTTTTGAGAACCCAAATGCAAGAAACCTTTCGACCCCTCCTCCTATGGTAAAAAAACTTTATCCAAAATCTGCGACCCCAGATTCAGCAAATTTGGCCTCTGCCAGATCAGCGTCAATATCATCACTAAGTGCAACTTTTGAACGACCAGCACCTGCTCGGGAAACCCTTATACCACGCTCTTTTAAAGGTAATATTACTTGAGTTTTTCTGAATCTCATAACTAGTCATCTTTAGAAACGTGTAATTCTTTAACCACCTCATCTAAAAGCTTCAACTACCACCGACACAATTATTTATTTAAATTTACTATTCAACACCCCCAAGTGTAGACCAGATCCAGATGCAAAATGTGCACAATTTTCATAAATGGGTGGTGGTGAGAATCGATCTTATGGCCTTTTCCAACTCTGATATCATATTGAACCACCTCAAATCTCACCTAAAAGTTTAAGCTATTAGAGGGCAAACTCATTTATTTTATTTCAATTTTGTATGCAACAAAAACCTGAATATTTTTCATCATGCTGAAGTGAGCCCTGAGGTACCCAAAACCAAACCAGAGACTATCTCTAGGGAGAACTCCACCAGCAAACCTAAACCCGTGACTATACAAGAAGGTGTAAAAGAGGTCGAAGTTGAAGAGGAAGGACTCACAATATACCCATATGAACGCCTTACAATATCATCACCAGATCCAGTCACGGAAATTGATGTGACCAAACGAGAGGTATGTATTCCAAATAATATTACAGGGTCATATTCATTATATTTTCCATGATATTTTGCAATTTTGTTCTGCAGACTTATTTGTCTTTAAAAGAGTTCAAGGAGAAATTTGGGATGGCTAAGAGTGCTTTCTACAAGCTCCCCAAATGGAAGCAGAATAAGCTTAAAATGTCACTTCTATTGTTCTGAGTCTTCTCAAAGCATCTGGTTCTATCTCAGGTTACTTGAGCCTAGATTACAACAAAGAGAGCACTTGCAAATCTGTATGAATTTTCGCTTACTGTATCAGCTGAATGCATCTTTTTAATTTAAAAATTGGTTTGTATATGCTTTTCTCAAACAGTGAAGGCACCAATTCTCCGAGTAAGGGGCAGCGTCAGTACATTTTTAGCTGCTTCTGCCCCAAAGAGGCTCGTTTCCATAAATCGGGAAGCTTGGATCCATAGGCTGCTTCTTTTTTTGCTTGATGATTTAGTTGCACGATATTCTTTTTAGTCACGGGTTTTTGAGCGCTTGCATTTTTGTTTTCCTTGGTTGTGATTTTGTTTTCAACATTGATTTAGCAGTGTTCTGGAAGTGCAGAAATTCTAGGTTCTTCAATACTATGAGGATTCAAAGTGTATACATGATCATTATTTAGCTATCCAATGAAACTGTCATCTTTGCTTTCTTATATGATCATTGCTCCATTAATAGTCTCTTTGTGCCTTCAAAATTAACTTTTTATCTACAGAGATATTTGTCTGGCAAAATTGCTCATTGGTTATCGTAGTGTTATGAGCAAATTGGGCACTCTCAGTTTTAAAAGTTATATTGTGTTAGTACTTATTATCGGAATAGACATTTTTGTTTTGGTAACACTTGTTACGGATGAGCCAACTCGGCATGAGTATTGATACAACATCGTTTAATATGAAACGATAATTATCATATTATCACATCTTGGAGAAATTGTTGCCATATAAAATTTTAACAAGTTTTGCATTTTAGAGATGAACCATCAAAAAGTCGATATGAAATAATGAATAACTTGAAAATTATCGAGATTTTATTTGTAAGTAGGATGGTTATTATATTCATATCATAATTTTTATTAGTTGCATCACATTTTAATTGTTTCTAAAATTCTCAATTTTTAATTTTTGTAGCACTTAGTCGTTAACATTTTTTCAATGTATTCTTATTCCCGACATTTCATTAATTAGTTCATCTAGTCTCGTGTAATAATTTTCGTAAAAAAAGTCCCTTAGAATTATATGAAGGGATTTATTTGCCCATCTAATAATAATAATAATAAATCCAGACAACAAAATATATTTTGATAATTCTTTTGATAGAAATAATGTGCTAAATGAAATGTTAATTATAAATTTTCGATTATAAAAAAAGAAAATAATTGTTGAACAAAAATTTGAGGAAATGAATCCAGACGAGCATGTTTGGCTAAACTTAAAATTCAATTAGAATTGAAAATATAATTGTTATTGCATCACAATCCTCTAATAAAAGTCAAGCTAATTTTTCAATTTTAATCGAATTTTAATCTCTGCCAAACAAAACAAAACGCAATGCTAGTATAGTTACTATTTGAGTTAATTTAATGAACAATCACTGAACTTTAAATTGGTTACCACTTACTCACTCAACTTTAATGCGTTACCGAATGGTCACTCATCTTTCCTAATAATTAACCATCCATCACTCAGTAGACTTCCATCTCTTCAAATTGATGGAAATGTACACGTGGCTCACGGTTTTCTTACATGGCAAAAGCACCCATTAAATTGACGACCTGGGCACGACATTAACCCATTTAACTTCACGCTTCTTCCCTTTTTCACGACATTTCTGCCTAAATCCCTAAATTGAACGTCNGTGTGCCTCATGACATTAACATCAGGGTGCTTGAGGAGTTAGCTCCTTGGACTATGCTTTTTGGGCTAATCTTTTGCCAACCTCAACTTTTTGGTTTGTCTTAGCTCAAAAGTCATCAAAACATGTGAAGTGTATTTTCGGTTAAACACAATCTAACCCATACGACGTAGAAGATATTTTAGAGAACAGAACAAGTGAAGAGCCCATGCATGCCCTAGACTTTTAAACCTTGTGTTCCCTGAAGGGAAGTTGCAAATTTTTTGGTGGCACCTAAGACATGTTTGATATGTCAATCTGTAGTTAGCACCAGTTCAAATGAAAAAAGGAAAAACAAAAAAGGTTAAAATCCTGCTACTACTTAAGTTGAATACTACATTGCAGATAATTGGATTCCCATGTATAAGGTTAACCGGAAGAGCATGCAAATGAAGCAGTAGTTAGCTACCAGCTATCAGCAACCAAAGAATCCAATTAATCAAACCTTTGCAAATGCACCACAGAAATATACTGGAAAACTGATCCACTACACATAGTTGTGAAATGCATAGTTTCCATCCCAATGTAACTATTAGAGCTTAATGCAGTCTATTGCAAATGGGGGTATACATCAGCAGGCTCATTCCAACAAAAACTGTTGAGAAACGACAGAAAAATTATAAACCCAAGCCATCATAGATGATTGACAAAAACATATATATGATATCATTGTTAATCATAGAATTTATACATTGTACAAATCTGGAAGCCAGTACAAAGCCATTCCAAATCTTCACCCACATAACTGCTGATCAAATAGACTTTATACATTGCACAAAAGAGATTTGTAGCACTAAACAGCAGCCACATTTAATTCGTTGTCAAAAACTATTAACATCAGGCCCTAAACTACAGCTATTTGGAAGTCCAGCTATTTATATGGGAAGATCAGATTTTGGCGGTTGATTTGGAGGGCTTTGGGTTGGGCGATGGCGGCTTCCTTCGTGGTCGTGGAGATGATGGGACCGTCAGGTTCCTTCCAGGTGGTCTTGCGCCGGGAGCCATCAGTTTGGGTGGCCTTGCGCCGGGAGTTCTTGCTCCGGGAAGCCCTTGGACGTTCAATTTAGGGATTTAGGCAGAAATGTCGTGAAAAAGGGAAGAAGCGTGAGTTAAATGGGTTAATGTTGTGCCCAGGTTGTCAATTTAACGGGTGTTTTTGCCATGTAAGAAAACTGTGAGCCAGGTGTACATTTCCGTCAATTTGAAGAGATGGAAGTCTACTGAGTGACGGATGGTTAACTATTAGGAAATATGAGTGACCATTCGGTAACGCGTTAAAATTAAGTGAGTAAGTGGTAACCAATTTAAAATTAAGTGATTGTTCATTAAATTAACTCGTTATTTTAACTTTCATCATAAATAAGTCGAGACTTACTCGTTCGTTGTATGTTTTCTTCCCAATTCCACAAGAATCAGAATGGAAGAGCAACAGCAGCGGCAGATGAAGAAGAAGAAGAAGAAATCCAAAGGAAAAATCATCGAAAAGAAGAAGAGGAAAACGCAGAAACGAAAACCAGAGTCAAATATCCTTTTCAGTTTACTTCTGGCAGCCATTTCTACCAACTCTAACGCTAATAAGTTTCTCATAAAACAATCCTTGAACCAACTATATCTCTCTCTATCACAGGAGTTTTCTAGCCCCATAATTTCTTTGCTTCCAATTCTTCTCAAATCAAAGTAAGTGCAAGAACAATTGGCACCTTGTTTGGTTCCTTTTTCGCCCGTATATATATATATGCTTTAATGATGGTCTTTATTTTGAGTAATTTTTCGCTATCAATGGAAAATAATATTATACGATTGCACTTTGTGTAATATTTAATTATGGGCTAATGAAAAAAACTGTTCTTTTTGTTTGGTGGTCAGGCGTGTAATATTAGTTTTGACGCAGAAACTAAAAAAGACTTTTTTTTTTTTCCTGTTTAGAAGTTGCACATTAAACTTAGATGTTGGATTTTTATTTTGTTGTTGTTGTTGTTGTTGTTGTTGTTATTGTTGTTTAGAGTTGTTCAATGCTCTATATTTGTTATATTTACTGATTATTGGTTGATTTCTGCCATATATGTATAATCTACCAAGTCTAATTTTTTCTCTTTTTATTAGATGTGCTGAAATTGTATGTAAAAGTGTGGAGATCATTGGGGCATTATCGCTGATGTCGCTTGAGACAAATGAAATGATTTCTTTAGATGGAGAAATTGTAAAGGGCCTAGTCTTGCTTCTGGGAAGTACTAAAAGAAGAATATCAATGGCTGCCTGCAATGCCATCCTGGATTTATCTACAACAGCAGCTGGGCAACGGCGACTACTTGAACTATCTGCTATGGATAAACTTATGTGAGCATATTCCAGAAAATCTTCTTGAAGTTATTCAGTACTCACTAACATGGTAGCTGTTGGTTGCTTGCAATTAAAAGGTGAAATAGGGCCCATGAATAATCAAGGCTATAACCCCAAAATTCTTATGTAAAACTGAGTTAAGAAATCTAGATCAGAATTGTTGGTGCTTATATAAAGAAGGAAATGATAATGAATTTTTTGTCTTATGAAGTATTCCTAGACACACGAGAGTGCTTATGGTTTGATGATATACAATTGTATCTAATATAACAATGTTTTTAGGACTGAATCATGAGACGTGATGAATATTAGAATTCATAGAGCTCTATTTTGAAAATTTGGATTTCAATGGGGATGTGAGAATTTGATTTCTCAATATAACTACAGAATTTGATGTTTAGGTTTTGGGCTTGATATTTTGGCTGTTATTTCACTTGGACCGTGATCTATAACTGATTGTTGTTGGGTTATGGATTTGTTGGTTTATTTATTGATTGGGCAGAGATAATAACATTTTTTTTGGATTGGGCTTATGTTAATTTTGTTCAGCCTGCTGCTTTGTTGGTTTGGACTTGTTGATTTGTCAGATCATTTTAAAATTTAAGGCTTCTTGTTGTTCGAAGCAATGTGCGTTATCACGAGACTAAATTCTTTTCCCTTTCTGTGGTGCCTCGTGGGTATAGTAGCGGAATAATGATGTTTTTTTTTTGGGTAAGCATGAGAATGCAGAGGGATGAAAGAGAAGGAAAAAAATACAAATGATTTTTGTTTTTGGTTAAGGAGGAGAGAGAGACAAGGGAGTGCAAATCGTTGAGTTTTGGTTGCTCGGGTACTAGAGTTTTGGATTCTCAGAGGAGGATCATCTTTGGATTTTTGGTGTACGTTGTTTTGTAGGATTTCTTCAACTACAGCATCTTGGCCAACGATATATCGCTGGATTTTTGGTCAGTGCATTGATCGTTAGAACTTTTGTCGAAACACGAATTATGTGTTCGACTGAGGTCTCCCAACTGATTTAGCTCACTGTGTGTAGTCGGCACACTTCGTGAATTTCTTCTAGAAATTCTTCTTAGGGTGTGAGCTCTCTAAGCTTTGGAGTGGTTCTTGACTGTTTCTACATTATTTGTTGTTCTTGGGTCTCTTCTTTGTGGGCACGAGTATTGTCACCATCCCCAATTCATGATTGCAAATTGATGCTTGAACATAAGGAAAGCTCGAATAGAAGGAAAATTGTCATTGATGAATATTTGTAATTGATAGCCATCATATTTAGCTGTGATTTTGATTTTACATAATAAGAGAATCTCTCATATCGAGAGGCATCGAGCCTTATTGAGTATCATTGAGTATATTTGACAATATGTACCACAGCTTTAGTACTTGATTAGACGAATATATATCATTTCTCATGGAATAATGCTTTATGTACAAACTGGGGATCATAATGTGGCAGGTGATGTGGTTGAAATGATAAGGCTATTTAAATGTGTGGATATGAGATTCACTTTATTGGCCAATGCCATCTCCAATTTGTATTTATAGCATCGCTCTTTCTCTGTGTGTAATCTTCCATCAAGTTATCAATGCCTTTGCTCTGTCAAGACAATACTCTTCACTGTTCTCAATTATTTGAAGCCAATGGTTACATGCTCACTTAGAAGTAATAGCAATATGAGAAAGTAGTTGCCTGACTGTCAAATCCAAAATGGAGAAAATCATTGTTTAAAAAAAAAAAAAGAGTTCTGCTACTCGTACAGGGGCTCTTCACATGGGCTTTGACAGGGGGCAGAGGTGCATCTGTCAAAGAGCTCCTGTACAAGATGCTTAATACAAAAAAATTATGGCGTTGCTTGTTGACTCAGCGCTTTAACTATCCTTGTTACTTTATATCCTAATATATGAAAATTGGAAGAGTATGCCTCAAGTTTCTACATTTAAAGTATAATGATAGGTACAACAATGATTAACTATTGAATTTTGAAAGTGGCGCTCTCACAGACTGAGAAGGCTCCTGCATGCACCATTCTCTTCCCTGTGTACTCTTATCATCCTTTGTAAATCAAAAGGAAATATTTGCTTTGTGCAATTTAACAATAAGAGAAGTTTAAACCAAAAACTTTATATTCTTCCCTCATAAATATTTATGTGCGTACAATTAGAATACTTCTAATCAGTTTTAAGTTGAGAATGATGTTTCGAGATAGTTAGCATTTCAGCCTTTGGTAGTTATATATTTGTTGGTCAATTGATGATCTAATTACATGGTATTTAGTTTCACGAATTACACAAGTTCTCCAATTTTTGACTGCGTAAAATTGTTTCTTAACGTCCAGTAGTCTTCTCTTTGTTCAGGCCTCTAAATCTCTGACTGGAATAGTTTCTCTATGTGCTGATGTAATAATGTTTGAGGAAGATGATTTCCCAATAATGCTTCTTCATGCTGCCATTACTCTTATCAATTCTTGTACTATTGAGCAGATGCAAAATATCCCAACAGAACTTTCTGATTCTTTACTGGTTTATTTAAGAAGGCTATGGGTTGAAGTATGTAAACAAAGGTTATGCAGCAGCTATCTGAAACGTGGCCAGGAAAAAGGTTTTTATACAAGCAACATCAAAACAAACAATCTGGCTGAAAGTGTTTTTAGGCTATCCATTACTCGTGGTCAATACCAAGGACCTGTAAATATTGACAATGTTAAGAGAAGCATTTTCAATCAGGAGGAAGCTAGTTTTGAACACTTTCTATTGAATTATTGGGAGGTATCACCTTATCTAGTAAGGGATGCCAAAAAGACGTCAAGTGGGCAAGACAATGTTTTCACTCCTTTTGTTCAGTTTCTTAAATCAAAAGAGGCAGTATATTCCTTACTTCCTTCAGTGCTAAAAAGTATTACTTCCTGCCCACCAATTGCATCAGATGAACTCGATATCCTTCATTTTATCAAGGATGTAAGAAATCATCTTGGTTGTCCAATAATCTACCACCAAGATATTCGGGTTATAAAAACGCAAAGCAGAAAAGAGTTGCAATATTTTCAGGAGAAATCAGACTCTTGCTGCCCGACTCCTCATATTCTGCACATAGATGATATTTTGAAATGTGAGGAAGCATATAAAGAGGGTTACTCAATCGCTCTGCGTGGTATGGAGTTCCGGTTTCAAAGTATTGCTGCTATTGCAGATGGGTTAGCATCCCTCTTTGGTCAGCCTTCAGCTGGGGTAAATATGTACTTGACACCTCCTAACTCTCAAGGATTGGCTTGTCACAGTGATGACCACTGTGTTTTTGTATGCCAACTTATGGGAGTAAAAAAATGGACGATTTTTCCCCAGTCAAGTCCCCAGTTACCTCGCTTGTATGAACCTATTGATAGCTGCTATAGTTTAGAGGTTGAAAATAAGATGATTGACGAACGCAAACAGTTTTTGCTGGAAGAAGGTGATATCTTATATATTCCTAGAGGTTTCCCTCATGAAGCACGGACAATTATAGATGATGATAAGTTTGACAAAAACGCTGGATTCTCTTTACATCTGACTCTGGCCATTGAGATTGAGCCTCCATTTGCGTAAGTGATTTCTCAAACTTGTTTTAACTTGGTTGTGAAAAGGGATTAGAATTAATATTTGCCTGGCATTCTCTTCATCCTTAGCAGTTAGCGCTCTGCCATGGCCTTCCTTTGCCAGAGACGGTTTATCTAATAACTGCTTTTGATCATTTACATTTTATGTTAATATCAGTTCTTTATCATTTTACAAAGGATAATTTTTTTGGAATGCTTCAGAAATTTCTTGTCCAATTTTTTATTGTGAAACGCACAAGACCCTAGTACATATGCAATTTATTTGTGACAAATTATGTTGGCAATGTCATTGGTTTAATATAGCCAGGTTAACATAACAGAACTTCTTCTCTTGTTTCAAATGTATAATCTCCCTTACTTTTAAATGGTATCAACAATAATTGTAATTTCAACATCTTCTTTATTTTTATTATGGGTTTGTAAGTACACTTGAGTCCTTGGGAACTGGTCCCGAAACCCAATTTTGACATTCACCTGGCCGTACTAAAGTGTCACTTGATTGTACCTGATTTTGAATCATGTATAATGCTGAAATATCTTATTCTAGTTTCTCTTAAAATTGAACCAAACAAGATGAATTGGAACCAAGTCGATTTCATTTTCAGTTTGATTCTTGATTGAACCGCATAGGACGAGGTGACTTCAAATCTTTATATTGCCTCTTGGTGACTTCAAATCTTTATATTGCCTCTTACTTTTAGAAAAGCAGGCCTCTTAAATTCGATATGACACAGGTTAAATAGTAAGATGCTTATCACTTTTTTAAAGAAGAATCTATTGCCTATCATTTCTATTGACAGGTGGGAGGGATTCATTCAAGTTGCACTGTGTTGTTGGGATCAGAAACGGAAAGTATTTCCAGATGCATATGAAGATTCTGCATCAGGGAGTCTGCATGTTATGTCCGTCAACCTATTGCACATTGCAATCAAGCAATTGGGCAATCTTGATCCAGCACTTCGGAAGGCCTGCTTGGTTGGTGCATTTTCATCGTCTTCAAGTAGCGAAGGCTGGCTTGGTACAAGTCAGAGGACACTTTTCTGGCATCTAATCTGTAAAATCAACACCGAATTAAAGTTTTCAGATGCTTTGGAGCTTCTAGAAGAAGCTGTTCAGAAGGACGAAGATCCCCTCGAACAAGTGAGATGGGTTAAAGATCTCATTTTCGTGGAAGAAGTGAAGAGATCACAGAGGTACAGTACTTCTGACTCAGATAATGGTTGTGGGTTTCATTTATTATGTAATCATAGGGAGAGAGCAGAAGCTGTTTTCATGGAGGTTAAATATAAATTTTGTAAGGAAATAGTATTTGAGGAAGTTGAACAACGCTACAAAGTGATGCTTGAGAAGTCCAGGAAAGTGAGGAAGCAATATACAGATGGGATGCTTTCGCTGCATTGTATTACTGTGGATTCTTAACTTGTACTGAGTAATGCCCTTTCTTTCTTTGTTTCTTTTGAATCGTAAAGTTGGTTTTCTTCACTTGCGAAATTGATAAGTTACTTCCAGGTGAGTTAAGGTCGAGTCGTGGCTGCTCATCTATGGTCTGGTAAATTGAACTGCCTTGCCTTTTGGGCTCAAATTTAAGAGATTTGCTATCCCGTCCATTCTAATGCACATAACTATAAACTAACTTGAAAAGAAGAATCAATGAGATGCTTATAATTATACAAGTCAGGCTTTCTACACGATGATTTCCATGGGGCATTGCGGGTAGCGTCTGCGTGACCATACAATCATTGTATTTCTGCTTTCAAGGAAAATGTTTGGTTGAGTTTATAAGCTGCTTATAAGCTTAGCCAAACATAGATACGTTGGATGGATCAACCCACCCTGAATCTGCCTGGCCTGGCCTTCACTTGTTGGCAGCTGAAACTGGCCGTGAGATTGAACCATGAACATGTGGGGTGAAGAAGTAAAAAATTGCAGCACGTTGGCTATTAAGAGTTTTCAACCCCTAATAGCCCTTGCAAAATTTCTTTTCCATAAAATCTGTCTGGGGTACTTATCCTTTCTATCTCACTTCCATGTTATTTTTTTATTATATAAACATTTGCAATTACTGAATATTATGAATGTGACTCCAACAGTATAATTATAGGTTTTAAAATTATAGCCAAGAGCCCTCAAATTTTTAGTGGTAGAACAGCTAATTTGGGTCAACATATGTAAACTCTTGTTAGCAAAAGTTTCTCTTAAGTTGATTGTAACTTTGTGAGATTAACGCATTCACGAGCCTTGAATCTCAACCAGTAGGTTTGACATTTTGTTCTCACAAATTCTTCAACTATCAAGCTAGTAGTTTGTCAATTAATTGATCGCACCTAACAATGTTCATTGAATAGGTATCGAAAGTACCTAGTTCCAACTAGGATTGGGGTATTTTCACAACACTGTAAGAAAGCTCAGTTGGTGGAGTCCAATTCTTCCAATTGGGTCGTTAGAAATGACAAAAAAATCTGCTCAATCTGATATCCATAAGGCTCCACCCCTAATGGGACGGGGATTACCCACCTAATTGGGTAAACGGGGCAGAGAAGGGATGGGGGTCATTACCCCGAGATCGGTATGGGATGGGTACATGAAACATAGCCTCCGTTCTGCTACTCGCCACTCCTGTTTAAAATTAATTTCAAATTTAAACATTTTAACGAACAAAAATAAAAGATTTACCATTATTTTTAAAGAGAAAATAAGTTGTTCTTAACCAATTAAAAAAGTAATAATATTTACTAATTAAAAATATAAAAAAATAATAGCAAAAAAATAATAATAATTGGTGCGTCTTGTCCTGCCCCGTCCAGCTTTAATTGGATATGTGGATTGGGCAAAGTGACAAAAATATTAGACGGGACGGGTGAAAATGGTTGACCCGTCCCATACGACATCCTTAATGGATATCGAATTGTTCACACGACAATGATAGTATCTTGTTTCGACATGAATATCAGCTTTGAATCCAAAGCAAATGTTGCAACTATTTAAGATTATTTGATCTAACTAAAACCAACTAGAACACAACCATGAAAAGGATAATGAGACTAAGATAAGCCGCCAAGAATGTGTAATTATGAACTCTCTATTCCCCACCATTTTTCAAATATTTAAACCCCAATCTCTCTCTCTCTCTCTCTCTCTCTCTTCTCGAGTTTGTGCTGCGTGTAGGTTTCTGTCTTATGGGGGATAACATACATACAAAATGTCTTTTTTCTTGTGTGAAAAATCCATTTTTGTAGCTGTAATATGTTGAATGAAGACGAAGCCATATTTAACCTTTTTCCTCTCACTTCCATGTGATCAGGAGCCGCTTCTTCTTTACTTCCCTTTGTTCTAGTCTCTCTTGAAACGTGTTCCCTCATCATTCTCGTCAACTACAAACTCTAAAAGTCCACCTCTCTCCATATATATCTATCTGTTTCTCTCTCTATATTTGCATTTTGAACTTACACAGTTTTGCTGTAGTAATTCACCATGATTACTGGAAAAGATATCTATGATGTTCTTGCAGCAATAGTACCATTATATGTGGCTATGATCTTGGCTTATGGCTCAGTTAAATGGTGGAAAATTTTTACACCCGATCAATGCTCAGGGATCAATCGATTTGTGGCAGTTTTTGCTGTTCCGTTACTGGGTTTTCATTTCATCTCCACAAATGATATTTATGCTATGAATTATCACTTCATTGCAGCAGATTCACTGCAAAAAGTTGTGATTCTTGCAGCCCTTCTTCTGTGGCATTGTTTCAGCAAAAATGGGAGCTTAGAGTGGATGATCACTCTATTTACTCTGTCTACTCTCCCCAATACACTTGTAATGGGAATCCCTCTGTTGAGGGCCATGTATGGAGATTTCTCAGGCAAGTTAATGGTTCAAATTGTTGTTATGCAGTGTGATTTGGTATACACTTATGCTGTTCATGTTTGAGTATAGAGGTGCAAAATTGCTGATTACTGATCAGTTCCCAGAGACTGCTGGATTTATCACTTCCTTTCTTGTGAATCTGATGTTGTGTCACTTGACGGCCGCGAGCCTCTGCAAGCAGAGGCGGAGATAGGCCATGACGGGAAGCTGCACGTAGTGGTGAAGCGGTCAACGTCTGCACCAACCACATATTTTAATTAATTTTCGAGAGAATATTGTGTATTTTAGATGATATTATAGGAAATAAAGATATACTCATAATCTTAGTCTTAATGCAAGTAATCGGATTTTAATTGACATAGAGATATGGTACGTTAAACCAACTTATTATGACTAATTTCACTCGAGATGAGTAATTAGTTAAAATTGAAAAATTAGGTCTACCATATGAAATGGATGATTTGTTAAATTGTTTGTCGAGAAATTAATTAGACGACACTTAAATAAAATCATGAATCACACCCATTTAATCTCCCCAGCTTTCTTCACATTTTAGTTTTGCCTATTTTTGTTATTTTTATTAATTTCAAAATCAAATCTAATTATGTGTTTCATTTTTAGAATTAAATTAACTATTGTACAATTAAGTAATCACTCATCGTGAATTTGACAACATGGACTCTTTAGTCCACTTTATTATTTGTACGCCCAGTGCACGTGCGATATACACATATTTTATAACGAACACGGACCACACATGAAAATGAAATGAAGATATTTTCTCGTCATCTTAAGTTGAGTGAGAGATATTCATCTATTACAATGTGCAAACTTATGGACTATCCAAATTCGAAAAATTCATTGCATCATCTACTTCACCATTAAAATAGCCAAAAGGCATCTCCAGCATAATTCCATCATTCATGATAAATAATAATTAAGTCATTCCAAATACCTATGATTCTACCGTAGAGACCGGTGATTCCTTCTTGAATACAGTTTACAACTTTCTTCGTATAGTGCTACTCGATACAGACAGTGGGTCACCTTTCTCCTTTAATGTACAATCTCCTAATCCTACACAATCCATGTCATCGTGAATTTTATCACTCAGCTTGTCTTTATTCTTACTCCCACTTCCTTTGTTGATCGAGCTTAAGTATTCTTTGTCCTCTTTACGACTTTTGTCTTGAAGAAGATTTATCGGATCTTGACAAAACTTCGCACACCAATTTTTGTGCAATCTTATGATTGTCATGATTTACATTCCACAACAGCTTTTTTTTTTTAAGCAAACAATCTTTATTTATTCATTATTATAGCCATAAATCAAAGGCAAAATAAATAAGGAGAGTACAATGGGCTCAATACTTGAAAGCATTTGAAGAAAGTGCATAAGCGGCTAGGTTGTGGGCCACCACATTTCTAGTATTAAAAATACGATGACAAGATTCACAAGCATACATTTTACAGAATTCACGATTTTATCAATCATACATTACATCAATTTTTATGAAGATATTATAAAGTTTATATTAAAATATTGTCACACAAGCCCAAAATTTTCTTAGATGGCAGTCCACAAAGTCGTAGCCCAAATATTCCACCTGCCTAAATTGACCAGCCCAATTAGATATTTCACACCTGTGACATCATTCAACTCAAAAAAATTAAAGCCCGGTTTCGTATTGATTAAAATTCAGATTTCAATTTAAGTTAAAATCGACAATTAATGTCAACCACATATTTTATGAGTCTTGTAGCTTTTTAATCAAACATGTCATCAATTTTTATCAAATTTTACTAAAAATCTAATTCCCACCAAAAAAAGGGCTAAATAAATAAGCAACCAAAATCTTGAGGTAAACCAAAAAGGTGGCTCTACCGATATCTTAATAGAGTAAAAAAAATTATTTCTTATCTAGTCAATGTTTGGGCTCTATTTAGTACTTGTCTGGTGGCAATTTTAATCCAAATTTCAAGCAATTATTGGATCGTTAGTATCCTCCATTGTTGACTTCCTTCACACATTTTTGGAACCCACTAACAGTCATAATTCTGCTTTTAATTTCCTCCAGACAAGCCCTTAATATAATTTAGGGAAAAAAACATATATTTTGAAATAGTATTTTTTTTCAAGAATTCATGATTAAACCATTGTTTGAACCCATTTTATTTAAAAAAAACTCATTTTCAACTACATATTTTTCAATAAAATAATATTACACGTAAATCCAAAAAAATCTTAATTTTTAACTACACATTCTTCCAAAATTACTATTCAAAAATACATTTTCCCCCTCTTAAAATGGGGCTAAAACAAGTGCTAAAAGATAAGGAAAAATTTTAAGTTTATGTGCAATATTATTTTATGGAAGAATGTATTGTTGAAACTAAATTTTGAAAATATGTATTTTGGATGAATAATTTTCAACTCTTTCAATCGAACTAATCTGTCCAATTTAATTCTCAAAATTAACATGATTCGACATCGAAACATCAAGTTTTATTTACCTACTACCCGTAAAATTGGATTAATTTCATTCATGATCACTTAACTTTTCATTTAGTATCACCATGACCATCGAATTTTCCACTTAATGTCACCATCAACGAAATTTAACTTGTTTCACAAGTTCATCAAACTTTTCACTTAGAGTGTGTTTGATTGACTTTATTTTTCATAAAAAATATCATTTTTCCACACAAGTATTAACTTTTGGGTGTTGATTGATTTTTATTTCATGAAAAATATTTTTAAGAAGTTGGTTATATAATATATTTTCCTAAAAAACAAAGAAAATATTTTTTTTGGGAAGGGTTATGTTTTTTTTTCCAGACAATTCACTCACTCTCTCTCATCTATTCATTAATAAAAGATGGACAAATATAATATTTTCTAGACTGAAAATTAAATTAATCAAACACATTTAATTAATAATTTTCATACAAATAAGTCATAAGAAATTGAATTGTTTAAAATTTATTTTCTTTTCATGTAAATTTCATGCTTGCAATCACAACCATCCTTAGTGTCACCATGGGGATCGACCTTTAATTTGACAATGTGATTCTAAACTTTTGATTTCTAGTACTCGGAATTCAAAGTTTTCAAACATCACTTGTGAGTTCCTCTTGTAACGAAAAGCATTAGTTTGATTGTCAAAATGTTCGAAGGTTAGGGGCCAACTCTATTTACCTGAACTTTATAAGAAACAAATTAAAGTTAAGTGTTAAGTTCAATGGTCATAGTGAAATAAAATAAAGTTTGGTGATAATGATTACACCAAGTGAAAAGTACGGTGTCCATGGCTGAAATTAACCTAAAAATTTACACTGTGGCCAGCTGGGTTGACCCGAACCGAATTGCAAGACAATCTTGTAAAGTTCTATCTGCTTGTTTTTATTTTATTTTTTCATTTATACGTCTCCTTCCCCAGCTGATTGTTGAAATGTCACCTCCTACGAATCCTATAGGCTATAGTACCCTTCTCCTCCAAGCATAGCATCCTCGTTCACAATTCTCTTAGAGCTTCCAAAACTCCACATCAAACAATCCTAAATTCAGTACAGCAAAAAACCCTTAAAAATCTTGCAAAAATTTAGCAGCAGTACATGGCGTATGTGGATCACGCGTTCTCCATATCAGATGAGGATATAATGATGGAATCAGCCTACACAGTCAACAACAAGCCGCCCATCAAGGAGATCGCCCTCGCCGTTTCTCTCCTGGTTTTTGGCGCACTCGGAATCGTTCTGGGTGCCATTATGGCTGTCAATAAAGTCGGCGGCGACCGCGCCCACGGTAAATTTTCTGTTGGAGTTTGAGTCTTACTGTGTTTTTTATCGGTGTATTTTTTGTGGGATTTTGTTGAATTATCATTTATTTTTATTTTATCTTCTCTCTCTTCCCACGTGTTCTCCTCTTTTATTCTTCTGTTAGTTTGTTTATTATTTTGTTAGTTTGTTTGATGAGCTGTGACCTCCTTATTGGAGCTGTCATGTATATAATTGGGTCTGTGACTCCTTATGAAA